TTATTATTATTACTATTATTATTATTATATTATTATTATTATTATTATTATTATTATTATTATTATGCATATACACATGTATAAACACGTTAGTAAATATGTATAAATATGGAGTAGTATATGAACTACTTTTATATTATCATTATTATTAATAACTACTATTCTTGTTATACTGTAATGCTGTGATCAAAAAATATTATGTATTTACAGGTATAGCCAACGATGTTAATTTATCATGAAATTGTAAGTTTTAGTTAGGTGTTGTTTTACGTACACATTTAGCTGTAAAGAAAGACCATACTTGTGCTGTACGACCACTGTAGGTGTATATTTTCGAGCACAGCAAACCTGCAATCTTTTGGTGCTATTTTTACGACCCACGTTAGTCCTCCCATAAAACGGTATACTGCCATTCGCGCAATTGGAAGTCCTGTGTGTCAAAAAATTCCATATTTTTTGTACCCACAAAGCGAGTGATTGGTTTTCTTAAATTATAATATATAATATTAAAAATTAAATGGCAAAAGTAACACTTTGTCCGATTTATCATGGTTTTACTGTTCCTTAGACTCCCCTCACTGTTATTTTATCCGACCAATTTCAAGTCCTCTTTATATTAAGCGTTATGTACATCTTGACACCTTGATATCATCGTAGTTAAAATATACAATGAAAAAAAAAGGAATTACAATTAATTCATCGTATTACGTGCTCAAAGATTGTATTTTACAACGCGAGTGTAACGAACATAGCAATAAATATAGCCACGTTAACTAGCTGACAAACGCAGCTGGGATGCGTACACTGTGAATCAAACTATAAAAACTCACCCCATACGGTCTGTCAATCAAACTTCACGCCGAGAGCATCATCATAGAAGAAAAGAGAGATCACGAATTTTCCTGTCATGCTCGCGTCGAATTAATGATTATCTTTTTTTTTGCTTCTTAATATCGGGGGCGCCGCGAGCTGTACTGTGTATACAGATACGTGCATCATATAGACAAGTCAGTGCTCGCGGCTCGATTTCGCGAACAAGACAAATCCATTCAAGAAGTTCCTCGCGAGTCGTCGTCGAGAGTGTACACGTCGCGGGGGGAGAGGGAGGAGGTGGGGCTGGGAGGAACAGAGAACGACGGGGGAAAAGTGAATTTTGCATGATTTACTCCGGCTTCTTGCGAGAGGGAGAAATTTTTTTTCCAAGCGCAGCTTGATTTTATCGATACGTATACGTACGCTCGGATGGATGGCTTCTCTTTGTGTATCGCACGAACGCGAGGAAGGTTTTTTTTTTCTTTTATATATTTTTATATTGAAGGTGCAAAGTACAGGACATTTATGAACATCTTGTGGGGCAATATTGGTTCATTTTACATTACAATTATTGCTCAAAAAAAAAAAAAAAA